GTGGGAGAGAGCGCTGTATATTCACTCCCCCACCTACAATCCCTGCCGGTACGAGACTCGAACCTACAACCTTTGGGTTATGAGTCCGACTCTCTAACCATTAGGCCACGACTAAATAAACATTATATTATAAAATACATAAATTAAAATATTAGAAATATTATAGACAGCCCTGAGGATGTATATTCCTTTTTAAAAGCATTCTGACATTTGTAAGCCATCAGCCAATGCGATTGAATGGAATTATCACAGGATATGAGCAAGCAATGAGTACATGCAAATGATGAGAAGGCCTGGCTTATGTTGTCATACCATGCATATACTGTATTTGTAAAGGTTGAATTCCTTGGAAATAACACATTATGTATAGCTGACCTGGAACTGTCCACTTAGGGCATAAATACAGCAGGATACAGGAGTGATTATTACTACATGTCCCCTTGAGTGCCCGCAGCCATACGCTCCAATGTGTAGGGTAATGACGTGTAGCTCCCGTCAATGAGTATGCAGGCTTATGTGTGTCCTTATCTGTGTGTTTGTGTGTGTGTGTGAGAGAGAGAGAGAGAGAGAGAGAGAGAGAGAGAGAGAGAGAGAGAGAGAGAAAGAAAGAAAGGTCTTATTAAGCTTGTCTGTGTGTAATTACTGTGATATTTGCAGACGCTTTTGTGTAGCAAGATTGAGATTGCTGAGTTATTTTGAATGTGCGTGTGTGTGTTTTATATTTAATCTGTGAGGCATGTAGCTTGTGTGTGTATGTTGGAGGGTGCCAAAGGATATGGTGTGCGTGTGTGTTTATACAGTGGACTGGAGGCCGAAAGAGCGAGCAGAGCACCTCATTAACGCAGTAAATGTGGATGGAAGAGGTGGAGCTTGGTGTCCTTTAAAATTCGGTCCTCTGCACAGTTATTCAAATACATCAAAATGTTATCGGGCATCAACATACACCAAATAACAACATATGAAAGGGCACACAGGCTTCAAATAATCCACAGGTTCTCTGCTCATGATTGGAGGGATTGAGAAAAGAGAAATAGTGAGTGAGTGATTGAGAAGGAAATGGCTATTTAGTCTCCACAGTTCTCCTGAGGGAGTCTACCTGTGACTGCTCTCAGACTGCAGTTTAAAGCAGGTTTACTCCATAGTGCTGCCCGGAAATAACCTCTCAGACACGCTGTCACTTAAATAGACTGGCCTCACACATATTAGGCGGAACTGATGTAATTTAAGATGAGCAAAAACAGAAACACTGGAAAGCCAGTTCAGCAGCCAAGCTACAAAGAATATACTGTTTCTTCACTGTTGTCAGTTGATGTTGAAATTAAAAATCTCTAATTTCTTCTATGGAACACAAAAGGAGAACATTAGTAAAATGTTCATGCTGCTCTTTTTGTTACAAATACATGCAAAAACCAATGCATGTTTCAGTTTCAGTTAGACTAAAGCAATACATTGTCTTTTGGAAATGTCATGACCTGGACAATGCGACTGTAGCTTGGCTCCATTTACATTGTAATGTTTAGCATGCAATGCTTTATTTTTGTCAGTGGTGTTTCAAATAACATTGACTTAAATTATGGTATTTTTTTTTATTTAGAAATTATTACTTATTATTACTTATTTAATTATTCCTTTAATTAATTATTAGCATAAGGGATATCAAGCTGAAAGTGCATTTTCAATTAAGTTCTTAGTTTATGCAAGTAAAAACTATAAATTAACATGATTTACCATTAATAACCAATAAAAGACATTCTCAGAAATCCCTGCATGACACATCACATATACATTGTGTTTCTTCTATTTTTTTATGTTTTTGATACTGTACAAAGGGCGTTTTGTGTTACATATTCTGTTATTAATTCTGTTTACTGCATTATTTGCGTGTTATGTGAGTTACCTTCATGGTCTACTGTATATATGATTATTGGCTTGTTTAATGGATGCAGGCAATGAAATCTGATTCATCTTGTGGTTTTATGTTGTCCCCCCTGTATTCTCTTGGTAGTTATCAGTACATTTTAAAGTAGAAAGTAGAAAGTTAATTTTGTTAGTTCAAGAAGATTTGTATATTGACATTATACCACTTAATTAAATATACGCTGTAAAATAAGTTGTAAAATATACAGGCATCAATATTCCATCTCATAATACCTGAAACATTGACATCTAATTTTTTACAGTGAATTTTTGGCAATCACAGCTGCTATTTTATTTTATGTTTTTGTGTAAATATATTTTTATTATGTAACTTCTAGTCTGATTGCAACAGCTTAGTTTATACTCAACGAGTCCCATGACCACAGACAAGCTGAACATTCAATACAGTCATCAGTCATCCCCACCGAGGGTCTGGTACGACCGGACAGACCTGTGGAGATCTGTTTGTGAGATGGTGCCAGGACGGGCAGATGCTGCCAGGATCTTTAGCAGGGCCAGAGAGAGCACAGGCTGGCCAGAGGTGTTCACATCGTGTTTTACTCCTCAACTCAGGCTAACACAAACCACTGCAGGTGGCCAGTGTGTTACTGTCATTAGAGGGTCAGATGACATGGCCATGTGCTCCCTGTCATGAGGAACTTTTCAGAACAGGGAAGCAGATGAGTGAGAGAGTGAGAGAGCTGCACACTTCCAATCTGCTTCCACATTATCACACACGTGGGAAGTGGCAGCAGCTGTGTGGCAAATAGATTCCATTGAAATGTTTGCAAATGTGTTACTGATTAAAAACCAAATGTGTTTATGTTATTATTCTATCTTGGAAACTTTTTATCAGGACATTTGTTACTACTTTTGAAATGACAAATTACAGTTGTCCTTCAATCTGTTAACAATTTTACTCCTAAGTTTTATTTAAAGTTAGGGAAGAGCTTGAGATTAAATAAACAAACTGACAAATTACTTAAACTAGTAAGCATCTGAAAAGTGTTTTAAGAGTTTATTTTCTAGCAGTTCACAGGGCCAAAAATGGCCCGTTAAGGAAATTGCCATTTTATTTACATACACTACCGTTCAAAAGTTTGCAGTCAGTACAATTTTTAATCATTTTTAAATTAATTTTTTAAAGAATTGTATTGAACAAGGATGCAATTGATCAAAATTGAGCGACTGTTACATTTTCAAAAAATATTTTTTTCATATAAATGCAGCTTTTAACTCTATTCATAATCATGATGTATCACGGTTCATCAAAATGTGTCACCGTTTCCACAGAAATATTAAGCAGCATAACTGATTTCAACATTGATAATAATATGAAATGTTTCTTGAGCACCAAATCAGCATATTAGAATGATATCTGAAGGATCGTGTGACACTGAAGACTGGAGTAATGATGCTGAAAATTCTGCTTTTCTATCACAGAAATAAATTGCACTTGGAAATATATTTAAATAGAAAAGAGTTATTTTAAACTGTAATAATATGTCATAATATTACTGTTTTTACTGTATTTTTGATCAAATAAATGCAGCCTTGGTGAGCATAAGACTTCTATCAAAAACTTTACAAAACTGTACCCCCCCCCCCAAAAAAAATGTGTCACTTTTTATTGATAGGAAAATTGAAAAAGAACAGGAAATGATGCATAGAATAAGAAGGAAAGAATCAGTAAAGGAGTGTGACTCAAACTCGCATAACTCTCGAGTACATCAGTGTGACTGTCTCAGATAGCATTGCAAGTTTAAAACCCCATGAGCAAGGCACTAAAACTCTGTTCAGTCAGCCAATATATCGCTGCAATTAATGTTGTCATTTAGAATGAAGTCATATGCCAAGTGATATCAAATAAAGGTAATGAATATGTTCTGCTGATGCCTGTTGCCAGGAAGCCAGTTCAACTATATGTTGTAGATAAATGAGCACAGTATATTAACATTGTATGAATTGACAAAAAAGAAATATAGTAAAGTATGTGAAACCATTCAAGTCAAGCGCATATGGTATGGTGAGGATCTCAATTCAATGTGCCATATGGCTTTGGTAATGGCTAACACAGAAGGATGCAGTCCCCCACCTTCCTTTCCCTTTTCACTTTCTCTCTCTCTCTGTCTCTCCGGGTCCACAAAGCTCAGCCCAGACAGAATTAATGTGCAAGTCATCAGTCACAGAGGAAGCAGAGCCATGTGATAAGAACACCCCCATTATTACCTCAGATCTCACGGCAGCATCTGTTATAGACATGTCAAAATCATTATTGCTTAGCACCAAGCGTGACTTTTATATACGGTGCAGAGAGAGCAGCTTAAATTAGTGTGCCTGTGTTGAATATCACCTTCTCTTTATAAGATGTAATTTGTTTGTTTATTTCATGCATGTGACTTCAGAATGAGACAGTATCTATATATCTGACAGATGAAGTGTTTATGTTTCAGCCGGATGTTGAAGTGAGTCATAGTGCATGTGATGAAGGCCAGTGGTCACAGACACACACACACACACACAAACACACATGCTGGCACCCTGCACTGTTTGTGGGCTGTTGCATTGTGGGGCAGGCAGTTTGGGTGATGGCCATGCCTATCGCTCCTGCTCCCCCTGTGCCCCTCAGGCGGCCCCTGCTGGGATTTGGGCCTTGGGCACTGAACAGACTGCAACTTCAATCTGTTTAGTTGCGGGACTGAAACGTGAGGCCCGGAGCCACAGTGAAAAATAACCTCAGCCAGGGCAAAGATAGCAACAACAGAGTATGATACAGCATTAAAATACAAAACAAAACAGATTGAGGCCATTTTGCCACCAACAGGGAGAGGAAAAGATATGCAGCGTTCAAGGCAGCAGAGATAGAAAAGCGCCCTGCTGTTTGGTAAATATCAGCGAGAACCTTTGTGCGCATTGATTATCTGCCTCTTCAGAAACTCCATCCGCACCATTTCAAGTCCAGTGATGCATATAGAAACGTTTACTAATTGCTTCTCAGAAGTGAATAATAAAACCAGCGAGATGTTAACAATGCGACGTGAATGATGTCTGTATTGTAAATCATGTTCTGTTGTCGTCTCCAGTCTGTTCGCAGTTCTCCAAAGGAGTGTACGCCATCATCGGTGTGTATGACAGGAAGACCGTCAACATGTTGATGTCATTCTGCGGTGCGCTACACGTCTGCTTCGTGACGCCCAGCTTCCCCATGGAAAACTCCAACCAGTTTGTTATCCAGCTGAGACCCGAACTGCAGGACGCCCTGGTGGGCTTAATCGAACACTACAAGTGGTCTAGGTTCGTCTACATGTACAGCTCGGACTCTGGTGAGACCTGCTTTTTATGATCTAAATCTTTGGATTTTGGGGGGAATTTACTAAGAATTAAATGCACCCACAAATAGCGATGTTTATTTGAATGTTTTATTTGGTTTTTATTTGATGTATAGTTGCTTACTAAACTGATGTATAGTATTATTTAATAATGAAATTAACAATAATAAATATTTTTTATTTAAATGTAATTATTATTAAAATGCAATTACATTTTTAAAATAATAATAATTATTATTATTATTGTTATTATTAGGGCTGGGCAAGTTAACGTGTCAGGCTTTTGCCCTGACACTCTGGTTGTCTTGTGTTTTGTTTCTTGTGTCTATGTTGTCTTGTCAGCACATGGCCTAGTTGATTGTTTTTCTCAGTCATGTGCTTCTTTAGCCCCTCCTCCTGGTTTCCTCATTACCACACCCTCTTGTTAGCCCTGATTGAGTCCTTGTTGGTGTAATTGCTCTCACCTGTTCCTTGTGTTTTCCTCCCTATTTATAGTGTCCCTTGCCCTCTTGTCTTTGCTGGTTCGTGGTCATTCTTTCTGTCAATGTGTTTGTGGCTGAGTATGTGTTCCTGTCTGTTTGATCTTGTGATCTAGTCTTGCCCTAGTCTTGTCTTTTGTAATTCTATGTTCTTGTCTTGCTCCTTGTTTTTGGATTTGGTCTGTTTTTGTCTCTTTGCTTTTATTTTAGTGTTCTTTTAGTTATCTTAGTCTTGATCTCTTGTTCATTTTTTTGTTTTAGTTATTTGTGTTGGTTAATTTGAATAATTTAGCCTTTTTTATTAGTCCTTTTGTTTATTCTCTTGTAGGTCTTGGAGTAATTTGTGTTCCTGTGGAGCTATGTCTTGTCTTGTCTTAGAGTTCCTGTCCTGACCTGTTCCCTTGCCTGGTGTCTGGGGTGCTTGAGTTTATGGTCCATAAGTATCTGAACTCAGCTCTCTGGTGCCTTGCTCTGGTCTCTCCACCAGCCTGGTCTTGCTGCCGCCTCTGCTGTAGTATTCTGCCAGTTGATGTCGAAGGCTGTTCCAGTGGTGTTCCCTAGCTATTTCTGTTTATTGTGTTCCTGTTGTGGTATCCCCTGTGCACCTCACTACCCTTTTGTTTTGATCTGTTTTGTCAAACCCTTGTTACTCGCACTGCAATTGGGTCCTCCTTCCAGATCCCTGACATTACGACCCAGCAGATGAGCTTCACTACTTCAGGTTTTTTTTCTTTGTCAATTCAGCCCTGGTTTTCATTAATCCTGTCTTGTTAGTTCCAGATACCTCTGAGCTGCTGCCATTCCTGAATCCGTCAAGCCAGTTCCAGACACCCCTAAGTTGACCAAGAGCGCTGCGGCTATCCTTGCCATAGTGAAATCTGTTCTAGTTATTCCTGATTTGACTGACTGCTCTGGTCGTCACTGTCCAACAAACCAGTTTCAGACACTCTGGAGTCAACTAAGATCTCTGCAGCCATCCTTGCCTCATGCAAGTCTGTTCAAATCATTCCTGAGATGACCAGTCCACTGTGGCTTTCCTTGTATCAGTTAAACTAGTTCCAGTCAACTAAGTCGGCCAAGACCACTGCAGTTATTAGAGTCTGTCAAGTTAGTTCCAGACACTCTTGAGTTGATCCAGACCGACGCGGCCATCCAAATTGCAGTCAAGTCATTCCTGTTGACCCAGGCCAATTTAGCCACCTCGGAGTCAATCAAGTCCGCTTCACTTAACGTGTTGGCTGATCAATATTTTTCATCCCCTCAGATGTGGAGAAGGCGGGGACATGTATCAACTTATGGGCCGTCCTTCTGAACACTCAACCCATGGTTCCAGGTGGACCCGTGTTAAGAACCCTCTAGCCCTGTGAGTCCAGAGGTGTCTAGTTCGGTGGCCTTGGTGTCAGAGCCTCAAGTTACAGTTACGAAGTATTCTTTCAAGCCTCCCGGTCTATTTGACTCATGTACAGAAGTTTTATAAAAGGGACTGTTCCAGCCTTTCATGTCACGCCTTCAGAAGTTGATCCTGCCAGTCAAGTCCATTGAGATTGCTCCTACCTTTCATGTCCACAGAAGTTGTCCCTGTATGTCAAGCCCTTTGAGATCGTTCCTGTCTGTCAAGTGCTTGAGTTTATGGTCCATAAGTATCTGAACTCAGCTCTCTGGTGCCTTGCTCTGGTCTCTCCACCAGCCTGGTCTTGCTGCCGCCTCTGCTGTAGTATTCTGCCAGTTGATGTCGAAGGCTGTTCCAGTGGTGTTCCCTAGCTATTTCTGTTTATTGTGTTCCTGTTGTGGTATCCCCTGTGCACCTCACTACCCTTTTGTTTTGATCTGTTTTGTCAAACCCTTGTTACTCGCACTGCAATTGGGTCCTCCTTCCAGATCCCTGACATTACGACCCAGCAGATGAGCTTCACTACTTCAGGTTTTTTTTCTTTGTCAATTCAGCCCTGGTTTTCATTAATCCTGTCTTGTTAGTTCCAGATACCTCTGAGCTGCTGCCATTCCTGAATCCGTCAAGCCAGTTCCAGACACCCCTAAGTTGACCAAGAGCCCTGTGGCTATCCTTGCCATAGTGAAATCTGTTCTAGTTATTCCTGATTTGACTGACTGCTCTGGTCGTCACTGTCCAACAAACCAGTTTCAGACACTCTGGAGTCAACTAAGATCTCTGCAGCCATCCTTGCCTCATGCAAGTCTGTTCAAATCATTCCTGAGATGACCAGTCCACTGTGGCTTTCCTTGTATCAGTTAAACTAGTTCCAGTCAACTAAGTCGGCCAAGACCACTGCAGTTATTAGAGTCTGTCAAGTTAGTTCCAGACACTCTTGAGTTGATCCAGACCGACGCGGCCATCCAAATTGCAGTCAAGTCATTCCTGTTGACCCAGGCCAATTTAGCCACCTCGGAGTCAATCAAGTCCGCTTCACTTAACGTGTTGGCTGATCAATATTTTTCATCCCCTCAGATGTGGAGAAGGCGGGGACATGTATCAACTTATGGGCCGTCCTTCTGAACACTCAACCCATGGTTCCAGGTGGACCCGTGTTAAGAACCCTCTAGCCCTGTGAGTCCAGAGGTGTCTAGTTCGGTGGCCTTGGTGTCAGAGCCTCAAGTTACAGTTACGAAGTATTCTTTCAAGCCTCCCGGTCTATTTGACTCATGTACAGAAGTTTTATAAAAGGGACTGTTCCAGCCTTTCATGTCACGCCTTCAGAAGTTGATCCTGCCAGTCAAGTCCATTGAGATTGCTCCTACCTTTCATGTCCACAGAAGTTGTCCCTGTATGTCAAGCCCTTTGAGATCGTTCCTGTCTGTCAAGTCCACAGAAGCTGTCCCTGTCAATCCATAGAGATGGTTCTTGCCTGTTATGTCAGATCTAAAGAAGTGGTTCCTGCCAGTCAAGTTCATGGAGACTATTCCTGTCTGTCAAGTCATGCCTTCAGAGGTTGTCCCTACCTATTCTGTCTGGGCCATACAAAGTGTTCCTGCCTGTCCTGTCACGCCTACAGAGGTCGTTCCTGCCTGTCAAGTTATGGCCATATAAAATGTCTGTCCTGTTATGTCATTAGAGGCCGTCCTTGCCAGTTGGGTCATGGCCATGGAGATGTGTTCCTGTTTGTCTTGTCAAGCCCACAGAGGTTGTTCCTGCTAGTTAAGTTACACACACTGGGATCAAACCAGCTCTCGGCTGCTTCTGACGAGTCCCTTGGAGGACGTTCCTACTAGTTGTGTTCCACCTGAAGAGGCTGTCCTGTCAGTTTTGTCCCATCCTTGAAGATTGATCCTGTCTGTCTTGCTAAGCCCACAGAGGTTGTCCCTGCTAGTTAAGTTGCGCCCACTGAGATCCTACCAGACTGGCTATCTGCTGTTTCTGATGAGTCCCTCGGAGTATGTTCCTGCTAGTCATGTTTCACCTGTGGAGGCTGTCCCTGAGTATACTGCTCTCCCTGTCATGACCTCTGAGGATGTTCCTGTACAGTCTGCTCCAGCCCAGTTCTAACCACTTATGACTCTGACTTCAAGGACCCCCCCCACACCCCCTCCCCTCCCACCGCTGCCTGCACTTTCAATCTGGCAACTGTGATCTGTTTGGTGGAATTGTATGCCAGGAGGCAACTCTGGTTGTTTTGTTTCTTGTGTCTGTTGTCTTGTCAGCACATGGCCTAGTTGATTGTTTTTCTCAGCCATGTGCTTTAGCCCCTCCTCCTGGTTTCCTCATTACCACGCCCTCATTGAGTCCTTGTTGGTGTAATTGCTCTCACCTGTTTCTCGTTTTCCTCCCCATTTATAGTGCCCCTTGCCTTATTGTCTTTGCTGGTTCGTGGTCATTCTTTTCCCTCACTGTGTTGGTCTCTGTCTGTGGATGTGACGGAGTATGTGTTCCTGTCTGTTTGATCTTGTGACCTAGTCTTGCCTCTTGTAGTTCTTGTCTTGCTCCTTGTTTTTTGGATTTGGTCTGTTTTTGCTTTTAGTGTTCATTTAGTTATCTTAGTCCTGATCTCTTTTCATTTTTGGTTGATGTTTTAGTTATTTGTGTTGGTTAATTTTTTTTTAATTTTTTTTTTAAAAATCCTTTGTTTATTCTCTTGCCTGTCTTGGAGTAATTTGTGTTCCCGTGGAGCTATGTTGTGGTGTTAGCGTTCCCTTGTCTGGGGTGCTTCAGAGTTTATGGTCCATAAGTATCTGAGCTCAGCTCGCTGGTGCCTTGCTCTGGTCTCTCCACCGGCCTGGTCTTGCTGCCTCCTCTGCTGTAGTATTCTGCCAGTTGATGTTGGCTGTTCCAGTGGCGTTCCCTAGCTATTTCTGTTTGTGCCTGTTGTGGTTTCCCCTGTGCACCTCACTATTTTGTATTGATCTGTTTTGTCAATAAACCCTTGTTACACTCACTGCAATAGGGTTCTCCTTCCAGATCCCCTGACATAACGTGTTATCGCATTAATTGACTAACAGTGACAATTTTATCGCGTGCTAACGTAGGTTTTTTTTATTTTTTTAATAATATAAAAGTCTGTCTCT